ACCATTCATGTCCTGCAGTATTGGGTAGCTCTGTTGCCTCTGCAACTAGAAGGAGATTAAATAGTCCCTCTTGCTTATTATCTTTGCAGGCACAGTACTGTACCCTGCAATCTTGTGTTAGAGAAGTGGCCAAGAGAATTGCAAGTCATGTAGCAAAAAGGCAAATAGGGAGGTTAGCCAAGACTGGAATAATGAACTGGAGATTAGAGGGGAAAAGGTCAGGAGGAGGATGTCTGAGTACACTGAAGTGAAATAGGAATGCTGGTAGAACTGCTTTTCCAGTCCTGGTTACTCAATAACTCAGACTCTGGTCATGTCACCACAGATTTTGAGACCTTCTCTGTGTTTGTGAGAGCAGAACCAGGCAAAACAGACCTTTGTAAAAATCAGTTTGAGGAAAATGGAAGTTTTGACAACTGAAATGTTGTCATTAACATTAACTAAGCAACTAAGCAGTGTTGTAAAAAAGGTAAATAAAAGAACAGTTATGTCCTGTTGAATAGATGAATGGAGAAGATGGGATCTCCGAAGTTCTCTTTTCATCTGATTCCTGCCATTTTCATTTATGTTCACATCCTCTGTAAAACTTTCATAGACCGAAATTTCTGCATTGAAACCTTCCATGCAAGTTCTTGCACATCCCATCTATTGGCTCTAACCCTCTATCTTTTCATAGTTCAGTTTCCTTCTCCCCTCTGGAGACTGGAACAAGCTTTCTTGCTGTGATGCTTCCTCACTAGACTGCAGCCTGTACATCGAATAGAGATGAGTCTTGGAAATCTGGTTTTGGGATTGCCAGGGTGCACCATCTTCTCTTCCCTTGGCTGAGAACTGTGACCTTCCAGAATGCTGAGACCTAAAGGAAAGAGCAGGAGGAACTGAGTTTCAGGCTATCCCGGACTATTATCAGAGCAATAAGGGACTTGAGCAAAAATATTTTTCTACTTTGCAGCTCTGAATGTTTTTTAAAGGCCTTACTTCAGTCATGCCCCACAACTTGTGATTATTTGAATCTTTTGGATTCTGTCAATCATTAATAAAATCAAAGGCATTTACCTTTGTAAGACGATCAGTTTCCTGCTTCTGGGAGGAAGAGGGCAGCTATCCCTCTTACAGTACCTCCTGGCACCCCTCTCCCTGCTGCTCCTCCACAGGCAGCCCTTGTGCTTGTCTTCTAGCACCAGCGTTACAGGGCTGCTGAGTGTTTCTTCTCCATTTGCAGGCCTCTCAGGTGGGTGCGACATCAGTGGTTCACTACATGGTGCGCCTGGTGCTGCTCACCCTCTGTGGATGGGTGCTCTGCTGGACTTTGGTCAACCTCTTCCGCAGCCATTCTGTTCTCAACCTTCTCTTCCTGGGCTACCCGTGAGTGACACCACCTTCTGGGCAGGGGGAGCACAGCTGCTTGGGTGTGACACAAGCCACCATGGGAGGCAGAGCTCTTGGCTGTGGTCTGTTTCCTCAACTTAAATTAGAAGGGAGGCAGGAGGGGCTGGGGGTGGTGCGAGAAGGTGTCACTGAGCTGATGAAGCAAATTGCCTCAGTTGCTGTTTGTGTGAGGGGCCTTTACTGCCACTTGAAGACTGAGCCATTGAGATGGTTGGTTCCACAAATGGGATTTAAAGAAGCTTCTCTGCCCAGTTGTTGAAACTGCAGCCTCTGGCCCTTTAGGGCAGAGAAGAGTTGGCCACTAGCTTCTGGAGTGAGGGTTCCCATGTGGTATCACTCTCCTAAGGGCCAGCATCTGTTGAGAAGGTGCCCCTCACTTCCTGCTGGGATGGCTGTCATTTCAACCATTGTTTTTTCTTTCATGGCAGGTTTGGTGTCTACGTCCCTTTGTGCTGCTTCCACCAGGACAGCAGAGCACAGCCTCTACCTGCAGACTGTGGATACTTGGTACAGGACCAGGTGGCAGATGATGGGGCTTCAGCCGTCAGCAGCCTGGTCAAAGATTTCTTCTCGCTTCTGTGGGAATCCCTGAGAGAACAGTTCAATAATCCTACGTCTATCCCCACCCACAGCTGCCCCCTTTCCCCAGATCTCATCCGCAATGAGGTGGAGTGCCTAAAAGCAGACTTCAACCGCAGGATCAAGGAAGTTCTCTTCAACTCTCTCTTCAGTGCCTACTACGTGGCATTCCTGCCACTGTGCTTTGTGAAGGTAGCTGTTGTCTGGTTCTCCCTGTGCCCCTGCCCGCTGTCTCCTTCTGACTGTTGTGTGAACTGCTGCCAGGCCAGATTCCTGGTTAATTCCCCTTTTCTCTGTCTCCCCTTTGGCAGCCCGGATAGCGGAGCATGGCTGCATCCGGAGTGCACTAGTACTGCTCCTGGTTGGCAGATAGGTATTGCCATAAATGTGATGCACCTCTAGTCCCATCACCCCACTTACTAACTCCCCTTCTCCCACCCTCTGTCCTAGGCAGATGGATAGCTGTGTTCTTCCTAGAAAAGGGAGCCTGTTGTTACCCATCTCAGATCCAGCATCTTGCCTTTTGAGTGCTTGGATCAGACGCTTTGGTGGTCAGGCTGTTAGAGCCAACTAGGATGCTTAGCAAGCTAAATCCAAGAGCCTCTTGTCAATGTGGGGGTTGTATATTTTCATCTGTCATTTTTTTAACTTGGACAAGCTCCTGTTGGTGCAGAAACGGGCAGGGCTCCATGTAGCAGTCTTGGTGCAATTGGTGCTCCTGGGGCAGTTCTGCGACAAGCATACTGCCTTGTTACCTGTTCCTGGAGGAGGAGATGCACCAGCTGCAGCATCATCCCCTGCCTTTTCTCCTTCAGGTCAAGGAGAAGGGAGTCTTGAGTGTTTCCTAAGCTGTAACCCTTCGAAATCACTGGTCCAAAAGCGCATGCCTGTAACGTGTGGTGTGGGTCTGCTGGATGCACACGCAGTATGTCACTTGTCATTCCTTTGTCTGTCTTGTGACAGTGGTGCCAAGTTCTTGTCTGGTCTCTTTGCAGAGCACCCAGTACTACGACATGCGCTGGTCCTGTGAGCACCTCATCATGGTGTGGATCAATGCCTTTGTCATGCTCACCACTCAGCTGCTGCCTCCCAAGTACTGTGACCTGCTCCACAGGTCAGCCGCCCACCTTGGAAAGTGGCAGAAACTAGAACACGGTTCCTACAGCAATGCTCCACAGCACATGTGAGTGGGCATGGGGAGGGGTTGGCATGCCTCGCAAGGGGAGGAGAAGACGTTCTAGTAGAGGAGCAAATACCACCAGTGCGTATTTACTGAGAACACTTCTGCACTCCCCATGCAACTCTACTGGCCTTACTGTTCCCTGGAAACAGAAATGTCTGCTCTAGAGAGCTGTCTGAGCTCCTCCAGTCACTGCTGGCTCGTTCCCAAAAAGGAAGGCTGACATTCTTCTTGGCCACTGGAGAGTATCTTGCGCAGGGGCGGGGGGTGGCCCCCTCCCATGAAGTGGATGAGGTTCTTGCACTGGGAGTCATTTGTTCACATTACTCAGAGTCCATTTGATGGGCTTATGATCACCTCTCTCTGCTTTTCCAGTAGGAGCTAGGACATGTCCCTGTGGCAGAGGCTTTGGTATTTTTCAAGATGTAGTCCACTCCTGTGAACCTTTATCCAGGGAGTTGGGAGCACAGATGCTAAAGCTCTGGCATTCTCTCCCCACAGCTGGTCAGAAAACACAATATGGCCACAAGGAGTTCTGGTGCGACGGAGCCGATGCCTGTATAAAGCAGTTGGGCCTTACAACGTAGCAGTGCCTTCAGATGTGTCCCATGCCCGCTTTTATGCAAGTATCTCTTCTCTTGCTTGATGCCTTAACGACTGTGGGAGGGAGGAGAGGCTCAAACATGGCTGCAGCAGAGCAGACCGTGCAGAACAGAGTTCAGTGCTGCGCAACAGCCTGTTGCTGCTAAACAAAATACCTGTTAGCAGCTGAGGGGTTTTCCCTTTCCAGTATTACAGTGACCTCTGGGCAAGATGGAAGCCACAGCTGCCTTGTCAGTGTTTTCTCATCAAGGTGGCACAGCTCTCTCATCAGACAGTGGCATATTCCCAAGAGGGTTCTAGTTAACATCGTTCAGGGAAACAGGAAAGTACATCAGCAGGCCAATTGGTTATCTCACCCGTCCTCCCCTTCTCAAGCAAAATGCCACTTCTACATGCCACCTCTTATTCTGTTTTCCCTAAGTAGCACCTGGTGGTGGCTGGAGTACAAGCATTTCTTCTGCCCCACAGTGGTCAGTGCCTCAGTGGTGCCCGACAGCATTATATATGTACCCCTCCTCCCTTTAACCCTGCAACAAATTACAGAAATCTGTCCTTTTTAACTGTTTCCCTGCAGTTCCTTTTCCACCGTCCATTACGGCTGCTCAACCTGCTGATCCTCATTGAAGGCAGTGTGGTTTGCTACCAGCTCTACTCCCTGCTGCGCTCAGAGAAGTGGAACCATACCCTCTCCATGGCCCTCATCCTTTTCTGCAATTATTATGTCTTATTTAAGCTCCTCCGGGACCGGATAGTATTAGGCAGGGCATACTCCTACCCACTCAATAACTATGGACTCAAGGCACACTAGGCCGGCCAAATGTGTACCCCTTCTCTTTTTCTTCCCACAGGGCAGGGAGGGAACCTCAGAAAAAAAATATTTTCGTACAGTTCTATTTTTTTCTTGCAGCGTTTATAAATATTTAAAATATTTTATATTTTGTATACTATTGTTTTTGTGGGGCGGGAAGGGAACCAGTGGCAATTAAATGTCGCTTTATAAACAAGGTGTTATTTTATATATATAAAAACCAAAAAAAAGTGGATGTGTATATACCGTATATCTATACCCATACATATATCTATGTGAAGCAACAGGATTGTGTGTGTGGTCACTGTGTCTGCTTCGCTCACAGAACTGCCCTGCCCCTGCATACTGTGGGGACAGAACTGCTGTTAATTAGGAACAGCAGGTCTGCTCTAGAATTTGGATACGCTAACAGCCAGGGGAAAAAAAGAAAACACTGGGGCCTTTCACATAGATAAGTAAAGTTTATTTTGGTAACCTCACTACCAGGAAAGTCTTGCATTGAAAATGTGCACTGATGAGATACGTTTAGGCAAAGGCAGGAAGCAGTGTGTGAAAAGAGTGACTAAGTTACTGTCAGTCAGTAAAAACTCTCAGTTCTTTCTTCCCACTGTTAGCAGGATGCAAGTTTTTTTTAAATAATGAACTATTTACTTTAGCCTCTCTCCTCCCAGCAACTTGAGCTTCCTCTCTATGCCAAGGGAATGAACTAAACATTCAAATCATAATTTTAGGGTAGTAAATAATTTCAGAATGGATTTGAAATAAATAGATTCATCAGCAGGATGGTAATTGAATATTTTAGACATCCATCTCTATGCCCTCGAGCAATAGCATTGAATTAGGAATATTCAGCTATTTTCTTCAAGCAGTACTGTTCCTTGCAGAAATTTATTCTTGTCAAACATTTACCACCTCCCTTATTGCTAAGCAGTACATTTCAGCAGTGTTTCACTCTAAGGTATGTTGACAGTGTTTAATAACTTATGGTTAATAACAGAGGAAATACTTTGCTTTTAAACCATTCCTCATAAAGCTAAACTGTACTAGAATCTAGAGAACAAACACTTTTGGCAGTATCACAGAAGGAATTAAAGGTCAAAGACAGTGTCAACCATATAATTAATTTAACTGTGGATGCTGGTGACAGCTGATGGTAGGAGTTGATGCTTTAACTCAGGTAATTAAGGAGATGGTAATGCAAGTTCTTCCATTCAGATCCCATCTGACTTAACTTCAGCCATCAGTAAAGAGCTAGCTATGGTTAAACAGTGGATAGGTATGGGGAAAAAAAACCCCCAAAACTCTACTGAGTTTGGGAGAAACTGCAACTACTTTCTGCTGCTTCTTTCCTTCCAAGCAACATAAGAACACAGTGATCTCTGCTCCTGTCTGTAGGGCAGCTCCTCCAGCAGCCTGACCACAAGCCCAGGATACCTGATAAGGTAGGCAAAAGGAGATGCCTCTCAGCATTAACCCCAAGCTACCCTGAAATGAACACAAATGCTTAGGTTTAGTTGCTCCTAGGCCTTTTCTTCTTTCATGTGGCCCTAGTGCTGCTGGCAGGACACAGGTACTCGTGAATCTACAGCCTGAAGCTTTTCAGTAAAATACAATACTGTGGCTAGAGCCATGCCATGCTTTATGTAGTAATCCATGTCTTAATTCTGCCTTGATTACTTCAGGAAGTACATTTGAGATAAGAGAAGGCTGGCATCTTATCTAGAGCAGGCTCTTTGCTGCAACACTTTCTTGCATCCAGCTTTAACTTTTGCAGTAGTTCAGTAGCATTTCCTACAAATTTCAGCTGTTTCTAATAGCTGCCTCAGCACTCTTAGAACAGTATTTTCTCTGCATTATCAAGTAGTTTCTTCCGTTTGGACATCTAAATGATAGTAGGCTTATACTCAAGCAACTAGTGGGAGAAAAGAGACTCTCCAGGTCTTAGCTTGGGAAATAGAGATGTGCAAAGGAAAGCCAGAACCCTGAAACAGGGTTTTGGGGCAGAGTTAATGAGGGTTCCTGCTCTGATTTTTCCTTCCCTTCCATGCAAGGCTGAAGGCAGGAAGGACTCTCAGGCAGTGAGCACACCCACAGTGTTGGCAGCATGAGGAACAAGCAAAGTGACACTTCTGTACCTATGGGATTTCTGCTTTGCTCTGAGGGACTAAGTACAGGGCCAAAACAAACACTGCCTGATTGCAGGTGTGTTAAGAGCCTCCTCATTCCAAGAGAGCTAGGCATTATTCAGTGCCCTTCCCCTTCAAAAACAAGACCTTTGTTATATCCTGGAGCAGGAGAAGTTCCATTGGAAGGTTTAAGGCCTAGAGATTGTACCTCTCCATGTACAGTAGTATGAACTACCTGCATGCAGTCCTGTAGATACAATTGTCTTCCATCTGTACACAGGACCCCTACATGGGAAGAAATTGTAGAAGATAGTTGCAGCTTCCCCTGCAAAAACAAAGCAAGGAACTAGCACAGTTGGTCTCGCCAGTATAAACTAAGCCATCCGACAAGCAGGGAGCAGAAATTATGTCTGCTCAGCATTAGTGCCTGCTTAGATCAGTCCCCATTCCTCAAATGAGCCTGCTACTAAGCCTTTCAGATGAACATTGAAAACAAGTCCACTCTTAATATTTGGTCAGGTCAGACTAGGGAAAAAAAAAGACTTAATCCCCAACTTGGTCACTCTATCATGCAAGGACGTCGTAATAAATGGATGGTTTTTTGGTCTGGGAACGGAACTGCTCTAGCTTTAGGCCAATCCTCAGAAGAACAGCTTCATCCCACCATTTTGCCATGACCTGGGAGAAGATGAGAGAAGCAGAGTGAAAGGAGGGGAAAAAACCCAACAAAGTAGCATCATTACATATAGACACTCTTGAAAGCCCTAGATTACATAACAGAAAACAGAATTTCCCTCCCCCCCCCCCCCCAACAGCACAAAAAGACACATTTTCCCCTTTTACCCCAGTAAGTATGACATCACTGCATTTGGGATAAAGGCAGCTGTGTGACTTCCAATTGCAAGACATAAGACCCATTTCTAGAGGGAAGGACTTAAAGGAAATGAGAAATAAGAGAGGAAAGTAGTGACAAATATTGGGTACTGATGCAAGTAGCCAGGGAAACAAATCTATCTCAAAGATACCTGAAGAGTCCCTCTGCCCTTCATGAGTGAGTTACTCTGAGGCAAATCACCCACAAGTTAAAACTTCTATTTCCAGTAGCTGCCAACTCCTCATATGAGCTGTGTGGAACAGCAGGAACCTGGTTATAAGTGGCTCAGGACAAATCCAGATGGGGATTTTGTGACCCAGTTTTCAACAAAAATCCAGTACTTGCCTGGAGGTTGATAGGAAGCCCAGCAGTAGAATATCCAATGGGGACCACAATGCCTGGTATCCCAGTGAAGTTACCAAGCTGCATGAACCTGGGGGAAAAGCTGTAATCAGCATTCTTGACTTGGGACAGCAGCAAATTCATCCTTTTTTGGGAGAGGCAGCTAGCATCAATCTCTCCTGCCTTACAGCCTGAGCTTCTTCAGTTGGTGCAGCTAGTCTCCAGCTGTTCCCAAACTTTTGTTTCTGTACTGCAAGTAACGTTGTTCTTACCTCATGGACCGTACTGTGAAGGACATATCGCTGCTCCCAGTCAAGAGGTCAGATTCATAAATTCTTGGGGCAGTGCAAGGAACAGCTGTGGAGAAATCACAAAATGACTGTAATGAAAAGGGACCTCAAGAATTCATCCTGTCTAACCTTCTGACTCAAGAATGGTCAGCTAGCGCAGGTTGCCCAGGACCATGTCCAAATGGCTTTTGAATATTCCCAGGGATGAAGATTCCACAGGCTCTCTGAGCAACCTAATGCAGTGCTTAAAGAGCAAAAGAAGAGTCAGACAGTGGGCAATCTTTAAGGAACAGCTCAGTTCACTAAAGCCACATGTTTGATATAGAGTGGTGATGCAAACTCATGCAAGTTGCTGGGATTTACAAATAAAGCAGTTAGCTTGTATTTAGAGCAAGAACACTGCATACATAAGTAGATATCCAGTCCCTCCTGTGCGTACGTGCCAGCTCTATAGCTCCTGTCTCAAGCACCAAGGGGGAATTTGTTGCTGCCATGAATACAACCAGTAAATCTAGAAATACACAGCAGTCTTTCTAACCAGGCTGCATTATCCTCTAAATGCTGTGCTTGAGGCACAGCAAAGTATTTGCACAGAAGTCATACTCTTAAAAATTGAGGCGGGAAAGTTAATGGAGTGACTGTTCTTAAAAGGCACCACAGAGCTGTTGGGGACTGGCTCTTTGGCCAAGAATAGCAATACCTGGTGTAAGGATACAGTTGACAGTGCTGAAGATCTCTCGCAAAAATCCCATGCTCCGAGTTCTCTGCCGATTTGCCTGCAAGCAGAGAGAATAGTGTCTGACCAGAACCTCTTGGTTCACGAGGCTCATGTTTGATGTTGACAGACTGCCCATCAGAGCCTCTACCTTTGCATGACACCGTTCCTGCAATCTGGAATCACAATGCAGGACAGGTGGCATGTCCTCAGCATGCTTTCACAGCTAAGGGCAGTTAGAGCTGGGTGACATCTTCCCACGTGTATGGGGAAGTTAAGCCTCTACCCCACCTGTAAAATTTCACTATGTGCCTCCCTTCAGCCTTCACCACACTATGTTCCTTACCGTAATATAATCCAGAGCTGTGAACTGGCAAGCCAAGGCCAGGTTAGCCCGAGTGTCCAAATTCTGAAATAAAAAACACTGATCAAGGTTCTGCTTGCAAGAAAGTGAATTGTGACAGCCCAGGAGTTCTCTTCCAGGTCTGTTCTCCTGTACTGGTAGTCATCCAACAGGTAGTTTGTCATAGAAGAAGGAGAGCCTCAGGTTTCTCACTGACATGATATTTGTGCTGCATCAGCTCAGGACAACTACTGCCATTGCTCCAAGCTGCTACTACTTACCATTTCCTGGAAATGTTTATTGAAGTCAGGTTGCAGGAAGTCTCTCATCTCACTGAGAATGCAGATTACATGTGCTACTCGAGCTTCCTCCATCTCTGGAAGAGAGACTTCAACCACACTGGCTCCCAAACTCTGCAGGTGCTCCACAGCTGTGTACAGAACAGGTAAAGCACAGACAGCATCCCTGAGTTCACCAGGCTGCACAGAAGGGCTGCAAATCTCCAACCCCTTGCCAAATTAGAGACCCCACAGGCCACAAGCACCTTCAGTGCACCACGTGGCATGCAGGCTGCTGCAGCTGCTTCTCACAGGTAAAAGCCTAAGGAGATCTCAGTATTCCAACGGGGCAGGGGTAGGGGGCTTGCCCACAGGTTCCTAACTTAGCAGCTATAGGACAAGTTCACCCTCTCCCTCCAGCCCCTCAGTTAAGCCAAAGAGTAAAAGGTGGACTGCCAAATGCTTCCCTGAGCACTTCACATGACCGCTATTCTATCAGCATGAAGTGATTATTTAGCATCATGAGATTTCCATTCTGAGCTTCTTCTGAACCATAATGGTGGAGGAACCCGGGAGATACTCAAGAGACCAGGTCAACAGTACAGGGTCACTAAATCCTGATGCACTTTAACAAGGCTGAACACCAAAACTTCAGGAAAAGTAAATCTTTTGCAGTCTAAAAAGAATCCTTTCTTTGACCCCAACTCATTCATAAATACATACCCAAGCTTGCCTATTTCACTGGCCTATGGTGCAGCTCTCCTAAGAAAATACTATAGAATTGTGTCTTTGGAAATAAGGAGGCTGAAGAAAATCCATGCAAAGCCTGAATACTGTGAACTATCTCAGCTCCGATGCACAGGAGGCCAACTACTATACCAAGCATTGTAGTCCTTCTCTCCCACCCCCAAATACTCTCCAGGGTCAATTTTACTTAGTCTAAACTCTGACAAAGCCACTCTAAAGGCACCATTTGGCTGCTTTCAAGGAAATGCCACAGGACTGGATACATCACAAAGACTTAGCACTGTCTTACTATTGAGTATTATGTTGTGAAACAAGGCCCTCCCTTAAAAGTCTTTTACCATTAAAGCTTGCAGAGTAAGTATTACTGAGCACAGATCTGTCTTTCTACAGACAGAGGCTGAGCACACTGGACTGCATTCTTCCATTGTAATCCGACAAGCCTACAACCGCTGAGATTTTTAACCCTCAGCAGTCAGGAGGGCTTCCCCAACACACTTCCAAAGCTACTGCTGTTTGTCCAGCCAGACCTCTTTAAGCAACTGTCTTTAAGGACTTGAGGAGAGGTCTTTTTAATGCATACATAAAAGGAGCACCAAGTGATACCATAACATCAGGCAGAATAAGAGACTTGCAGACTTTTCCTCTTTACCTTTCTTGCAGATGGACAGAACTTCAGCATCACATGCCTAAAGAATAAGAGGAAAGAACTAAGTAGACTTTAATAAGTGCCCCCCTCTTGGTGAGCACACTCACCAGGACTTCAGTCCTTATGGTGCCTTCCTCGTTCCTGTCCCTAATGGTAATGAAACAGCCCTCCAGACTGCCTTAGGCCACCTGCTCCAAGAGAACAGCTTGCAGGTCACACCCCAAGGAAAAGGAAATATCATCTTTTCCTCCTCTGCACAGTGGCAGAGCCAGTAAGTCTTTTTTTCACCTCTAGGGAAGAATCCTGAGAACATTTGTGGGGTTGCATTACAATTGCCAAGCAGTACTGGCTTGCAAGCCCAGTTTCTACACTGGCACTCAGCAGCTACAGCATTGTCACCAAGCAGATACACTAATTTTCCTCATTTGATTTTAAACTAACTGCCGTTCATAATGAGTTCAGAATCATTTTCTCCAATAGAATCAGCAGTGTGAGGAAGCATACTGCCATCAACTGTAGTTGTTACCTTTGCTCATGTCTCCAACAGACTTTTCAAAAGGCTGCCTTAGAAAAAAATTTACCCATGTTGCTGTTTTCACACAGGCTATATTATCTTCCAACTATGGACTAAATATGAGAAGCTCTAATAGTGACAGGCAAGAGAATATCGTATTCCTTTAAAATCTCATTTTGCAAAGCAGCAGAGATAGAATAGGCACCTTAAAAAATGTCCAGTCCACTCCCAGATTTAAGCCTTTCAGGTCAGGAGCACACATATCAGATAGGGTTGCTTTGGGCTGTTTTAGTCCTGCAGGGAACAAAGAAAAGTTCCTCCTTTTAACTAGGATGCCTCTAGGAAGACAGAGCATCTGGGTTCAGGGACAGAGAGGGCTCACCTACCATATGGATAGAGTGGATCTGGCTCAGCAAGGATACTGTAAACAATGGCTGCATCTGCCACTGATGTACAGATAGGGCCTGTAAAAGACAGATCAGTAATAAAAATGTGACAAGATAAATATACCTTCCTCCCAAGATGTTTTGTAGGTACAGATTGCCTCCCCTGTGAGAAGACCACATCAAGGTCCCTGAAGTGGAGCACGAGTCCTCTTACCTACGCTGACTGTGGAGTAGGAGAGTGGCAAGCTGCCATGACCACTGATGCGCCCAAATGTACCTAGAAGAACAAGAAAAGGGCAGTTAGCTATATATCAGTAGTCACGAGGAAAAGCTGACCAGATGGCTCTGGTGCACCCAGTCAGTAAACAACCTACCCCTGCCAGTCACTTTTATGTCTGCTGTTTCAGGGTCCAGTCACTCATCCTTCAGTATCCTGTTCTGCTGACCATGATCTGACTCATCAGTGAAACAGATGCATTCAGTAAATAATGAAATGGGTTTCCCCCTAAGAAATTATTTAGTTGAGGGGAAACATGTGCAGGGACATTTTGGAATATACACATTTAAATATGCAGAAGCAGCATTTATGGTATGGAGGATGGAGATGCAGGAACAGGATTATCAACAGCAGCAGACACCACCCCATGGGAGGTGTCACCCACTTCATCAGTGAGACTTCATGCCTAACACCAGTTGTCTTCTGCGAGTACTTGTATCGCCTTTCTGACCAGTTACATTTTTGTCATCATCACTATCTTCCTCGGATGAATCACAATTAGTGAAGTTGACCACATGCAAAGGATGGAAAGAGAGTAATGGCTGAGTATCTGGTCTCAGATGAAGCAGCTGAGATACTTCAGCATGATAAACCATTCCCAAAAGCCAGCATCTCTTCCAAGTGACAACCCTGCCTCACCATGTTCCATGCTGTAGACACTGCCCTGTGCATTTCTTCTGTCCTCTGCACATTTTCCTTGATTATATTAATTCTTACTGCAAAAACTGCATTGCTACTCCTTGTAACACTGAGATAAGAGGGAATGGCTACATCCTGGTTTCATACAAGCCTATTACCAGGTTTAACTTACTAGATACAAATCTGAGCAGCATCAGCCTCTCCATATAACTGGGGTGATGGCAACCCATCATGGGTGGAGATAGTTTTCACCAGCTCAATACAGATACCCAACTGTGTTGGGAACACCTCCCAGCAGAGAAAGAAGAGTGAAGAGGGGCAAGTGGATGAAAACGAAAAGCAGCATGATACTTTGCTTAGCATTTGACTTAAGTAAGTTAGGGTTTTTGAACATCTGTTCGATAGCCAGTACAAATACTTCCATGCTGCCAGCCTAACCCGCATGCCTCCTGGGGTGTTACACTCCAGAGTTTCTCTGGTCAAGTTTTACTTGACAGGAATTAACAGACTGTGCCCAACTTGTTTGTGGCATTATGTCTGAAACACCAACCAGACAAACACACCCCCCTCCATGATTAAAGAGCTCTACCTTTCAGCCCCACCACACCACAGAATGAAGCAGGAATCCTCACAGAGCCTCCTCCATCTGTGCCAATAGCCACCGGGCAGAGACCTACAAAAATCCCACACATTAGCCTGTGATCAGAGGGACATCATTTTGCCCTGTCCATTCTACCAGCAGCTGTAGCCAAGACAGCACAGAGAGCTCTCTGTTTAGCCAGGAGTTCTCTCCAGCTTCTAAACCCCATCATAAAAACTAAATGCCTGAGGTCCTTTGGCTCAGGACCTTCCTCCCACCACCCCTGAGCTCCATGTAGGACCACCTACCTGCTGCCACAGCTGCTGCTGACCCACTGGAGCTCCCGCCTGTGAAGTGGTTAGGCTTGTAGGGATTCCTAGGGATCTTGTGGTACCTGAAGCAGAAACAAAGAGCGTCTAATCTTTTCCTAGGAAGGACTGCATGCACTACAGTGCAGAAAAAGATCCAGAAACACAGCTCAGAGATTCTGATCTCTTGGTAAAGAGACACCATTTAATCTCAGAAAGAGCCATGTCCCTAGAAAACAGAATGTAAAAAAGACTTCTGCCTCAAGAGTACAACCTCTTGTTAGTGTAAGCAGCCGATCCAAAGAAACAGACACAAAGCAAGAGAAAAGATGCTGCTCCAGCTCTTCTGTCTGCAATGGCACCATGCCATTACTGCATGCCACAGGGCATTAAGCAATTCCAAAAGGTGGAGCAGTTGATGGCCAGCAATCCTTACACATAAGCAAGTCAGCATCCCCAGCTCTGTTCTTTATCTCAGAGCAGCAGCTCCCAAAGTCTCCAATCTGACCACAGCCCCCAGACACCAGAGGTCTGGCACGTGCCTGGGTATCCAGCCAACCTCACACAGTGAGGAAATGCCCTGGCATGCTCTTGCTGCAGAGGGGGAGCCCTAGTTCCATCTAGCTGCATGTGCATGAAGTGTGGCTCTATACAAGGCTTATCAAGGCTGTGAGGACCGCTGCTCTGGAACTGCAGTTCTCATCTTGGCTATAGCTGAAGAATTCTCAACAGTAAAGCAAATTCCAGTGAACCTCTTTTAGCTAGGGAAACAAAACCACTACATTCGTAGACGACTGTACCTTTTTCTCACTGTTCTGGGCCTTCAGCCATTACTGTGGCTGAGTATTACATTACTATTTATTTGTTTTCTGTCATGGCTTTTGTCTACCATTCATCCTATAAATATTCACACCTCCAGGCCTGTAAGGCCTGACAAACCAAGTTCCTTACTCAGCAGACAACACTCAGATCCTCTCCTTCCTTTGGTTTCAGGAGCCTTCAAGCTTCCACAGCTACTCTGACCCTCAAATCTACAATGCTGGGTTTTCATACCCCCAGGGTTCTCTCTGTATGGGGTGTTTCCATCAGTTTTATTCTCATGTGCTTGCCTTTATTTTTGTATCCTTCCCCGTTCTGGACAGTCCTATAGGTATTTCTAGACTGGGGGAAGAGAGAAGAAAAGGATTTTTACCTATTAGGGTTGCATCCAGTTGTTCCAGTCCCTAGTTCATGCATGTTTGAGACCCCAATAATGATAGCCCCAGCCTCTCGCAGCTTCTTGGCCACAGTAGCATCTTCTGTTTCTGGCTTTGTCCCAAGATACACTGTTCCCACTCGGTGATGGTAAGGGACCTTAGCAAGAAGACACCTTATTATTCATTCCAAAACCCTGGTACAGTGCACACATGCACATAAAACCCTGTGCATGCTGCACATGCACACTTCAACACCACAAGAGATCCCAGACATTGGGACCCGTGGAGGTAAGGGCTAGGAAGCATCACTCTTCAACTTGTCCTGTTTTGGTCTCTGTTAGGAGGGACACCTAACCCTGCAATATTTGGTCCTTCTCTCATGCAGAGGAGTCCTTTTCATACTGTGATACAGCAGAGCAGAAACATGTAGATGGTCTTAGTCTGCCTCCCTGCAGCAATGTGATTGCTATGCCCAGAGGCTGCAGAACAATCACCTTGGCCCCACAGCACACAGCTCCATGTTCCATGTTTCTATGGACAGAGCTACAGCAATTCAAATCTGCAGTGCTTTGAAACAAGGCATCAGGATTAGTCGAATGCCAAAATACCAGATGGACTTATTTCCAGGGTATGCTAAGAACTCTTCACTTCGAGGCAGTAGTAGAAGAATCTGTACATAAACAGGACTCCCACCCTACAGGCAGGTCTCTGCAGAGCCTACGACAGCCTGATGGCACTGCCAGGAGTATTTACTGGTAACTATTGTTGGGACCACAGGTAAAAATCCTTGTCAGTAGGGATTTTCAAAATAACTTGCATATTTCTGACACATATATTTTAAGGTAAGGAGAGAGGGATGCTTTGCCAGTGGAGCAGAGTCAGCGCCCGAGAAACACAGACAGTTACACCCACCACTACAGATGCTTTTATATATTCTCATTTCATCATACGAGAGACCGCTTCCCACACCCACCCTCTACTCCCCATGGATTCAAGAGATCGGTACGAGATGGAACACGTCTGCTATATGCAAGATCTGTCTTCAGCTTGCAAAACTTGTTAATCCTACTCATTGCAAACCCACATACTACCCCTTATTACAAACATATTCTCAGGCTTCTGCTGAGGAGTTGGCCTTAAAACCCTGTTGCAGTGAGTTGCCCAGGTTGACCACCTGCAGCACGAACTGGCAGCTAGACAAGGAAACTCACCACTTTGAACTCTTCTTTCAGACACACTGGGATACCATCCAGATAAGACAGGGTACATTTATTCCTGTAACGAGTAGTGGAGGCCTCAGCCATCTGCACAGAATAAAAAATCACCATGTGTTATATATACCTAGCTAAGCTGAAGGTCATCACCAATATCAGAATAGATATCAAAAATTACTTTCTCAGGCTTTTACTAAGCCAAACTATCAAAGTTTCTTTCTTCCACCATATGCTCGTGAGAAACTACTACTTGGAAGCATCTGTGCTAATGGATGCCACATAAGCACAGAAGTCCTGTTATAAACATAGTCATCCAGCAGAAATGGATTGCTTTAATGCTACCTCTCTTTGCAGGAAGGAAAACAAACTTGTTCATAATCCTCTAAACACAGAAGAAGGAAAAATGTACTTATTTTGCTGTGCAATATACCAGCAGAAGAGTCTCTGACCCTTCCAATGGATACTACTGCTCTTGGGGTGGCAGAGGCCCCTTTCCTACCAGAGGCAGACATTACCAGCATTATTTGCTCCCGGTCCCATTGCACTATTGCTCTGAGCGGGGGGGTGGATTTGTTGCAGTCCTCCAGCATGGCAATGATGTTCTTGGCTACCTGAGACGGTGTCAGCTTCCCACTCCTACAGGACAGAAGAAGTTGGGACCTTGTTACAAGACCTCCCACACCACACCCACACACAGGGTTTCTCTCCCATACACAACATGGCAGCTGTCACAGGTGTAAGCAAGAACTAGGTAAGAATCTCTGCATGGTGATGATTTCAACACGGCTGACACCATCAAGACAGGAGACTCCCTTCCTTAAGGAGAGAATTTGCCTACACAGCATGTCCCCAGCCCTTAGAGCAGGGCAAGAGTTAGGAGAGTTACCCAGATATTCCTGAATCACCAAATAAACAGAGATGAACAGGTGACAGCTTTACAGAGTCCTCAAGCTCCTGAAAGCTTGGAAGTTATGAAACTGCCAGTTACCATGAGCTAAGACCAAGAGGCCAGGCCCCTTTATACAGGCTTCCCATTATAGAGGAGGGGCTCCCAGTAGTACTGTCATAACTCACCTTAAGAAACAGGCCTTGTCTCCTGGCAAAAGGCTGTATTTCACCACAAACACATCTATCTCTAGCTGACACAAAAGTCAGGATGCACCTGTAACATCAGACTGCAGTGTCAGCCTTCTGCTCCAAGGCCGCAGCTTGGTGGCAGAGGGGGCCCTTGAGGAACAAGTGCCAGGAGCACAAGAAGATTTATCTGAGCCTTCCACATCTGGCCCATGTCCCAGAGGCAACCAGGAATTACCAAGCAGCCAACGGCTCACAGAACCTTAGAGTCAGGAGTGTGCTTTCAGCCCCTTCCCAGCTGGACATATTTACTGGGCATCACAGTCAGAGGAGCACAAGGAGCTGGGGAACCAAGGGATTTACCAGAGACCCACAGTTTGTGCAACTTGCATAATCCAGATGAACTTTCATCTACTTCTCACTTGTGTTTGAGCAAACAAGGTATGCAGAAATCTCTCAAGAGAAAACTGACAATAAGCCAAAGAAAATGGCATTTAAATATCCTTACAGGGCTTGTAAAGTTGTGCCAGCTCTCCCAGCTGACTTTCCTTCGTTATTCTACTAAAGGGAAAGAACAGCAGGGAGTGATGCTAAACAGTAGCACCTAAAGGACAATGCTAACAGAGATACCTAAAAGCTTGTGGAACAGTAGCAACCCACAGTAGGGGAACACATGGGACAGGTTGCTCCCAGACCACAATTTCACCTACCGGTAGCACTCCAGATAATCTTTGATCCCTTTGAAGCTAAACCCATTCCTAGCAGAATCAGACCTGCAAAGACAGGATTAAAGGGACAGCAGTGAACCATCAAAGCCACCTCTGTTTAGACCTATAGCTTTCAGCATCACCATCCAGTGTATGTTTGGGCATCACTCACTCACAGCACACCATCTGGATAGCCGGCCTATGCATGGCAGCTAACACTGTCAGACTCTTTGCACGTGCCAGACACCAGGTACACTAAAGGTGCCACAGAAATAAGGGATTAGTCTTAGCAGTATGTTCTAGTTCTTTCATATTTCTACTGAAAGACAGCAGTCATTAAACTGTTCAAAATGTGTTCCAGGTTTACATTTGCTACTCACCACTGCAATATTACAGACTAGCTGAAATATACTCGTAAACCTACTCCCAGGACCTCTGCCACAGTTAGATCCAGAGACAGCCAGCAGCACATTGGGTGTGTGGTGTGGGAAAAGGCACTATGCAGCACACACAAGGATACACATCAGCAAACTGCTTAAAAACCAGATGGCTCTACCACTTAAGCAACAGACCATTTCTCATCACTCACTAACAAAGCTAATTTCTTGTGCATGTTTTTCTTTTAAAACCTGCATTCCTTTTCCCTTCCAAGCAACCCTGGTGTTCTCTTTGAGACTCCCTGCAGGCAAGAAACAGCACACCTGCAAACTCACTTAAAGGGATCTATACAGTGGCTAGTCAATCACTAAGTGCATCTGCTCTAATAGTGCAAACAGGGCGCTGGCAAGGGCAGATTTTAGTCTCTCCCCAGCAGGCAGACTCCCTGCAGCCTGGAGAATTTTCACATTGCATGTAATTACTGATGATTTATAAGGTGCAAAAGGAAAGATGACTGACAGCACTATTTGTTTTGTAAAGTGGCTGGGCGTGGAAAAAAAACCAAATCTAAATTACTGACAATGACAGCTTCCCATAATATAACAGTGCCAACCCATGTATTTTTCTACTTCACTCTTACACAACATATACTGACCTTGCATCTATCAGCTGCTTGATAACATCTGAAGTGCTTTTAGCCTCAGACTTGTCTCCTGCAACCTCTGCAGCAACCTCCGGGATAAACGTGGGATCTTCGTGAATGTCAAGTGAACGCATAAGCGAGAAGTTGTTCAGTCTGAAAGAAAGAGAGTCATTGCCAGAGTCTGCAATCTCTACCATGACTAATTTTTCAGACTGTTCAGAAGGAACCTTACCCAAGAACATTTTGTGTTAGCAGTCTGCTTTCACAGCAGGGAGCTGCAACAGTTTCAACAGCTACAAGCTAATCTCTCTTACATCTTTCCTACAGGCAGCATCAAATCTATTCTGCTTGCTTAACAAAGCCTCCTACCTCTTGACATAAGACTAGCCAGCCTCTGTAAACCCAAGATGGGAAAGAAATGGCGAAATTTTTCAATTCACTTTAATTGGACATATCATACACAGACCAATAAAGATAGGAATGAAGAGGAAAATAAAAAGGGAAAGTAGTATAAGCCATACATTCAACCACTAATCCTGTTAAAACAAGCACCTCTTCAGACTTTTCCATGACCTGCTTCAACATAGTTTGATTGCAACCAAATACAACAGGGATTGCAGCATAAATCCATAGCTTGGAACACATAAAGCGAGGAAATTAAGACCCTGTCATAGATGTCCAGGAATGATCTGATGTATAATAGCAGTGACACTTGTCTGGGTTTGATTCACTCATAAAGCCCATGTCCAAATAAAATTCAGGGGTAACACATTTCTCAGTGTCCTGGGATCTGCACAGATGACCCTTCAAGTGATGGGCAAACTATGGGAACCAAGTGTGAGCCTAGGGTTCCTGACACCTCTTACCTGATAGGCCCTTTGTACAATGTACACTTGAAAGCAGTTTCTGAACAAAAACGTAAGTGTGAAAGAGGAAAATAGTGAACATCTTTAAAAAGGACTTATTAAAATCTCTGAACTTTATGTCTGGCCTCATTTCCCCACTATTACTATTCTTTTACCACTAATGGTAATAAATACAGCATATTTGCACATCCACGACCTTTGAAAGAAAGAATGTCCTTTAACAAAAGAGCAAAGGCAAAAAGACACAAAAGCAAACAAAAGGCAAAGAGGCAAGCTGACTAATACAGTTTCTGTGCACCTGTCTGAGTGTGAAAAAAGGTTAATTTCTTCTAATAAAGACCCACTCAAATGAGAATAGTTAAAAAAATAATCTAGTAAACAACATCTATTAAATAATCTTCCTCACTCTCCAATCAAGTTATGCAGCTTTCCTCTTAGAAAATGTCATGTCAGATAACCTAAAAGCTGTGTGCAATGTGAGTACCTTAAACCAAAAAATGAAGAAAGAAAAAAAAAAAGAAACTTGCAGAAGGGCAAAAACTCCCCACTCTTACCTCATTAAGAATGGCAATAAGCAGAACTGTCCAAAAGCCTAGAAGAAAAGCAAGTAGAAATGTTGGTTTGCAGCAACTTTGACCTGAACACCTTCTTCACTAGACAAGGAATGCTGAACATGCTCACGATTACTGCAGGTTTGCAGTACCCCAGAGAGCATGCAATGCTAAGCAGTAAAGAAACAGCACAAACACTTGTATTTCACACCACAAAAATGGCCTAAAAGGCTTTCTCCCACCTCTCATGTTTATATAACAAGTGTATCCTTCTGGCTCTCCTGCCTTTGTCTTTCCCTGACTCAGCACGGAAAGCCTGCATCTGAGGGCTGCAACACTGTTAAGAAGCATCTATATAGCTCCCATCCATTACTTTCCTCATGTTGCACAGACTATGCAAACATTGGATAAGGTAGAAGCTTATTATTTTATTTATCACAGCATTAGGATCTTTCCTGTCTCTCAACCAGTTCCTGCAATAAAACGATCTCAACTTGAGATATTTAGAGACTCTATGATAGCAGATGGCTGAAAACATTCTTTGAATACTCTGATTCTGAGTGTAGAAGCACCAGCAGTCCCAAAGAGACCAGCCTGGTTCTAGCCTGTCTCAATAGCTCAACAGTGGACTTCAAAAACATGTTATGGGATGTACAAATACAGTGTAAGCCTGACGCAAGGCTCACGCAGCTAGACCCACAAAGTGGTATGTTATCTCACACATTGCATAAGAATTACAGCATCTTTTTTGAAAATGCATTGTTCCTAATCTACATCTAAACTAATACAGCATAATCCTGTAGGAGATTGAGAATCTCAGGTCCCGCCTCCAAAGGAGATGCCAGGAAATGAAGCAAGCCCCTTTACCATGCATCAGAAGTGGCCACAAAGCAAAGGATAACAAGGTATTCTGATCGTTATATCTTGGAAGAAAGCCACTTGTACGGTATTCCCACAAACAAACACAGCCCACTCCTAGCTTTCATTCCATGCCCAGCCAGACACCAAGCTCTGTAACAGGTCACACTGCCGAAACGAAACTTTCATGCCTATCTTGATACTGGCTCAAAAGGCCAAGCAGCAGCAACAAAATCCATCTGCTTTCAGGCAGAAGCTGCTGCAAAGTGGGCAGTGCCCAGGGGCCGCAGGCTTTTCTCATCCCTCACCTTGACACAGAGCGCTCCCGCCTCCTCCGCACCCGCCAAAGTGGGGATCAACCCGTAGGCTCCCAAACCCGCCCGAGGAGAGCACCGGGGGGTCAGCCGCCTTCAGCACCCTCCTAAAAACCCCACTCAAAGGGCTGAAGGACCCAAACCCCTTGACGTCCAAGAAAAGCTGGTGGCAGCTGTATTTCGAGTTTGATATCGACTTTGGACTCTCCGCACCCAAAGACACACCTGACACCCTGAGCCAAAGGCCCGCGCTCTCAGTCCCCACGACATCACACCTGGGGGAGACAGGGTGAACCCGAGAGCACGCAGAGCGCCACAACCTCCCAGAGAACGCGGGTTTTGCCTCCCCGCCGAATCCCCGTCAGCCTCGGCTCCGTCCGGTTCTCCCCGAGCTTTACCGCCGTGTTTGCCCGGCCCCGACTCACCGTGTTGGCCACATGGACGAAGAGGCGCAGCCCGGCGCCGCACAGCCGCGGGGCCCACTGCGGAGAGGAGGCGAGAGAGAGGTGAGCGCCGGGCCCCGCTGTCCCACTCCCGCCCCGCTCCAGCCCCCCCTGCCCGGCCCGGCGCTCACGGTGTCCCGGGGCAGGCTCGGCGCCCCGGCCCGGCGCGGCTCCCGGCGGAGCAGCAGGGCCCCCGCGCTGCCCGTGTGCCGCCGCACGCAGCACAGGTACGCGGCGGCGGCGGCCGCCAGCAGCGGCAGGAGCAGCAGCAGCAGCGGCGGCGGCGCCATCCCTGTCCTCCCACCGAGCCCTCGGACTACCGGGGCGGTGCTCGAGCTCGCCCCGCCCGCGCCCCGCCCTCGGCCGCGGGGAGGAGGCGGGAAGCGCGCGGTGGTGCTGGTGTCCGTGTCCCGCCATGTCCCGGTTCTTACAGGCGCTTCGGCGCTCCGGCAGGGCCCCGGCGGGGGGCCCGGGCGTGCAGGAGGCGGACGTGTCCCAGTGGGGTCTGACAGGTCAGCGGGATGCCCGGGGGAAGGGGTGGGGAGGGAGCGCTGGGGCTGGTGCTGTCAGACGATGGCGGGAGGCGGCGGAGGGGCCCAGCGCTGGCTGGTGCTGCCCATCTCATAGAACCACGGAATGGTTGTTCCAACCCCCTTGTCGTGGGCAAGGACATCTTCAGCTACACCAGGTTGCTCAGAGCCCCATCCAGCCTGGCCTTGAACACCTCCAGGGATGGGGCACCCACAGCTTCTTTGGACAACCTGTTCCAGTGCCTCACCACTCGCACTGTAAAAAAAAAAATTTCCTAATACCTAATCTAAACCTATTCTCTTTCAATTTGAACTAGCTCCCTCTGGTCCTGTCACTACATGCTCTTGTACACAGACTTGCCCGATCTTTCCTATAAGTTCCCTTTGGGTACTGAAAGGCCGCAATTAGGTCACCCTGCAGCCTTCTCTTTTCCAAGCTGAACAATCCCAGTTCTCTCAGCTGTAGTGGTCTGGGCTCTGTGTTAACAGCCCCCAGGCATGAAATAAATAAATGTGTAAATAAAGTGAAAGCGAGAGGGCATTGCTGCCGCAGAGATGGCATTGCTGCCATGCTCGCTCCTTTCGAGCCTTCCCCAGCTGCTGTAGTCACTCCCTCTTCGGCGATGCGGCCCGGGGCTTAGGCCAGCTTTAACCCCTCAAGTGCCTCAGCACAGCCTTAGACAGCTCTGTGCTTCGGGACGAGATCAACAGGGGTTGCCCTGTTCAGCGACCTTGAAATGGGCTGATGGTGAGCATGAATGAAAATGCTTTCCACTGCCTGAAGGGTAAGATATTAAAGAGGAATGCCTGGGCTATCCATCCCGCCTGCACATTTTCCTTAGCTGCAGAGAGTGTCTGTCTCAATCCCCATGCCGGTTTGGGTTTGTGTATCCTGCGGGCTGCTGAGTTGCCTCATGCGCTCAGCGTGCACATCTTCCCAGGGAGGAAAGGGCCACAATGGCACAATACCCAGCACTTGAGTCTTGAAGAGATCTTGAAGAGTTCTATGTGACTTGTTTTGTGCTTGTTTTAACATAATGTGCCCCATAATAAGGATTGCAAGGGTGGTAGTACCTAAAGTGACCTACAATTGAGGTCTGCCCTAACTTAAGTGCAGGAAAGCTGGAAAATATTGAGAAATTATTATTATACAGTGCTAGATTGTTACAAGCATTTCCAGTAGCCTGAAGCATGACCCTGGATCTAGTATTTAAGAAGGTATTTAAGAGTGGCTGGAGCTGAAAATCAAGCTGTCTTTTAGGAATGAAAAGTAGCAGCCTAATTATTAGATCAGGTTCCTGTTACAGGCCTTTGTAATGACTTGGGGCATTTTTATGTGTACACGTTTCTGAATAGGGTTTAATTTAACGGAATTGCTGTAAACACTGGTGTCTCTGCTCTCTAGGAGGGTGCGTTTCCTTTAAGGCAGATGTTTGGGAAGGTCTGCTCTGGGCAGGACCTGTTTCTAGTAGCTTCAAGGTATAACTGCATATAGTGTATTGGATGACTGTGTAAATGTAACAAATCACTTTTATTCCCAGGCATTAAGCTTCGTCCCTATCAAGTAGAAGGTGTAAACTGGCTGGTACAATGCTGTGAAGTCCAGCATGGCTGTATCCTGGGTGATGAGATGGGTCTTGGGAAGACTTGTCAGGTGTGTCTTCTTCTTCTTCTTCTGGAAAATGATCTTTGCTTAACTTTTTTTTTTTTAGCCCAATGTTTCTGCAGAATGAAAAAGGAAAAGCACTCTACTGACTGGTCAGTTAAGCAGTCCCATTCTGAATTCCATACTCAAACAAGAGAGTTCATTGTCTTTTTCATTCCTTAACCACTTAAAACAAGTCCTGAGTTAAGTCCTGAGTAACACTTCAAAGAGGTTTCAGGGTTTTGTAAAAAGATGAGTGGTCATTTTATACAAACACCTCATAGTGCCCAGAGTTGAAGGCACAGTGCACATCCAGTACAGGGAAAATTGTGTCCTTTTGATGCACCTGTACCAAGATGATATTTGAGTTCATCAACACATGAATTAAAATTTATAGGTGTAATTTTTTTCAGAGTTTTTGGAATTTTTTTTTTTAATAAGTTTTTCAATGGGTTTAAGTTTTGTTGGAAAATGATCGTTTGTGCTTTGGTTCAGCTGGTTTTGTTCAGTGGGTCTTAAATAACAAACTGGTAGTTTTAGAAAGTGATGCATGGCAGATCTGTTTTGTGACTGTGGGAAAAAGGTTTTCGAAAGGGGCTCCATATATCAAGGTCGTGTATTGAGGCCTGATGTAAGTCTTTTTGTCATTGATTGTGGATCCCAAGTGATATTCTGTTAACTTTGCTTTGTGCTAGAGAACCTGTGGGAACTAACTGCAAAGCTCAACAAGGAGACAGCTTATATAGATTCAGGCTATTGGGTTGCACTCTTCCCTTGTTATAAAAAAAATATTTTTCTTGCCTTTTAGACTATTTCACTACTTCTTTATTTGACAAAAAAATTAACCAACAAAGAGAGATTTCTGATACTTTGTCCTCTGTCTGTTCTGAGCAACTGGAAGGAGGAACTGGAGAGGTAAGTTTCAACAGTTGTCTGGCTCATTATATTCTTGCTCAGCAAGTTACAAAGATTGTTTTCAAATGTGCTCACTCCAACACTTTCATTTTATCCTTTCAAAGGGATAAAAAGTAAAAAGAGAAGCTGCTACTAAACCAGCTAATCAATGCGGACTACACAGTTAATGCTTAGTCTTTACCATGCTGTGGTATACACGAATTCATCCATCTTATAGTATTGGCTGACTTTCAGTCCAAATGCCTCCACTAGCTCCTTGCTTGTTATTGATTTGTAACCCTCCATGCTCAGCCTCTCTTAGGCAAAATCTGCTGAAGACAGCCAGGATTCTGTATGATGAAAGGTAAGACCCAAGCTGGGGGGCATGCTCACGTGTGCACGCAAAATACATTACATATGTGCATGCAGCCTGTCTTCACTGGGGTGCAGTGACTGTGCTGGTGGCATATCTGCTGTGCCTGGAATATGTACGTTTTATGTCTGAGCCCAAAGATTCCTTTTAAAAGGGCAGGAAGTCAAAGATTAGAACAGAAGGTCTGTGTATGGGCCATGGGGCAATGCTGTCTCTCAGCATCTGAAGTCACCCAGGTTACATTCTGAAGTGAGCTGGCCTGATTTGGATAGACTTGCGGGTGAAATAGTTGGGAGAAAGTGCATCCCTTAGAGATAGCAGTGAACGGCTATCCAGAAGTAATATCAAGTAAATAACAGGGGGGGATTAAATGAGGAAGAATTTTATGGTCCCAACTCTTTCTCCATGGAACTGGGTTTATCTGCATTTTGACTAAGAGAATATATTTTTGAGGCCCTGACTTGGACCTGTTTGCTGCAGACATTGCTTGTTTTAGGCCAATTCTTTGGTCTCAGCTGGGCAAACTGTATTCATTCACCTGCTTCTCATGATCTTTTTTCAATTCTCAATAGCACATGGGCCATGAGACTGGTTTTCAATTGTCTACTTTGGATTCATTACCTAGGAGAATGCAGTTTTACTTGGGACTTGTCCAAACCATAACCAGCAGCTGAGGTGCCAACCTGAGATGCAAATTAATCATGAAGGAGTGAGGTTCAAAAGCTGAGATCCAGGCACATCTCACAGGATGGTGGGGTGTTTGGATAGGCGTTCTCATCTGTGCAGTAACTATGTTTTATAATAGGGTCCAGGTCAAAAACACGTGGAAATACTTAGCTGGGCTCGCTGGTTTTCCTCTCTCTTTCTCTTAAAAACAGGTTTGCTCCAGGTCTTTCTTTCACAACGTACATAGGCAACAAGGAAGAGCGACCCAAACTGCAGCAGAACTTGAAGGAGGACTATCACTTCCATGCACTCCTGACAACGTACGAGGTACGTGATGCCTTTTTCACTTGAAAGGAGGGCTCAAGTTTTTTCTTCTTTTCCCTTCCAGTTCTCTTCCCCTCTCCCCCAGGGAGAGTGTGAGTGAGCAGCTGTGTGGTGCTTATTTAATGACTGGTGTTAAACCACGACATGCTGAAGGTGCAATGTAACTGTCACACTATTTTCCTCAAGTAGTGAGTGCCTTCATTCCACTCTGCTCCATTTCACCATGGTTTGCAAGTAGACAAAAAGATGCTCTGTTTCTTAACTGGTGTGTTTACTTAAATCATAAATCATGATTCGTTTTCTTCCATTGCAGATTTGCCTGAAAGATGCAGCGTTTCTAAAATCGTGAGTCTGGTTTTAATTTTTTCAAATTTAAATCTACATATCTGTCAGTGATTTCTTAAATGTATATTTGTATGTGTGAGATCCTGTACTTGTTTCACAAGAGCCAAGGTTGTTCTTTGTTTGTGATTAGAGCTTTGCCTTCTCCAACTTTCAGTGAAGAATCTTTAATGTCAGCTAAGGTGTATGTGAACTTCCCCCAAGGACAGTTTTCAAGCCTGTTAACTCAAAATAATAATACATAATGACTTATAGCACTACCTGAAGTATCAGTCCAGAAGACTGATCTTTAGAACAAAGGAGATCTTCAAGAGCTTCAGGTTTTAAAGGTATTCCTTGAAAATTCACAGAAACTGACCTGCATTATACCACAGTCATCATGTGTTAATACCATATCCTGAAGTTTATTCCCTCTTGCCACCAGTCAGAAATGTAGAGGGCTTCTGGAGCATTATGCTTTCTAGCAAGACTGATTATTCAGCTGAAATTCAGCCTGTAGGAGGTATTGTCACAGTCACGCAGAATTTTGCAGA